TCTCTCTCACACACACACACACACACTCACACACACACACACACTGAAATAACGGGACACCGTGACTGCCATTGTCAGCCACCCACGACCAGCACCCTTGCCGCCGACCTCTCCACCGACGCCGCCCCCAGCCACCCGAATGCCTCAAGTGCGCCACTGGCCTCCGCCGCCACCGTCCCATCTTCACCCTGTACCCTATACTGAACCGATCCTCGTCCTCGCCCCGCTCAGTGATGTTTAGCGAGGTGGCCATCTCCGCCCTTACAGCCGGCAGCTCTGACCTCAATTCTCCTCCACCACCACACGTTTTCGAGACAGGTTGCGCCACCCTCTCCCATCCATTTTGTTTCCCAAAACCTTAATCCCCTATTTCCTTACCGCAAGAACCATATGGATATATGGGTCTCCACGACAACTGGCGGTTACAGGAGGCCAAAACCTCACTAGCCCTTGTCTCCGACGCTAACTTATAACAGGACAACAGCGGTGCAGCCTGGCGGCATGGTGCACCCAATTTGGGACTAGGAATTTTTTGGAAAATGAGATAAAACTCAAGGAATTATCTACAATTTCTAAAATTTTAACTTTATTATACTTTAGTTCATGAGTCATATCTGTAATGCACAATAATGATAAACAACTTGCACAATACACTATGTAGATATGCACATTTAAAATACTGTCATACTTTTACGAAATTATAGAATTGCCACCGCCTAAACAGTTAAAAATTCACAAATTTACAAAATCACTACAGCACTATAGAAATGCACAATAGTGTTAAATGAAATGCACATTAGATGACATCTCACATTTTTTCAGTAAGTTTGTTGTTAATCAAATCTAACTAGTATTCGAAGCGTCTCCCCCAAATCGAAAAAAAGAAAACCCTTGCCGGCCTTCAATTGAGGTGCCTCCCCTCCGGTGGCCTCATTCTCTTGTGATTCCAGCGAGCATCGGGCTCGTCCTAGGTTCGTCGGTGCTGGCGTGGTGGCCAATTCGTCTCTCCCTCCCCGTACGTGGTCCCGCTCTTGTCTTGGAGCGCCATGGCGGTCGGAGTTCGAAGGCAGGGGTCCCTAGGTAGTGGCCGGCGGACGCTGCGGGCATCTGAGGATGTTTATGGTGGTAACCCAGCCTTGGTCCTCTCCTTTTCCGGCCTCCCCTGGTGTTCGGGTGGTCGGAACCTCCGACGG